AAACCCTGTCTCAAAAAACCAAAAAAAAAAAAAAATGCCGAGTCTAGACCAGCTGAGGCTGGAGCCGGGGAATCTGCAGGTTTTGTTAGCTCTCCGAGCGGTTTGAGGTTTGTTAAGGCTTGGAGGATCCAGCTGTTTCCTCAGTAGCTGTAACCTGCACATAGCTTGTGGTCTTGGCTAACAGTGAGGGCCCCCACGGCCATGCCCTGCTGCATGATGTACATGATCACACCTACAGCACCAGGCCTGATTTGTGGGATCCCACTTGAAAAAGGTTGTTTGTAAGACTGTGGTCTCGAGTCTCCAAAAACCTACCCATTCCCCCTTTTTGATCTTCAGAAGTAAGAAAGAGGCTTAGATGGGGACCCACAGAGGACGCTGTCTGGGAAAGAACTTAACAGTTGATGACAAGAGACTGAAATATAAGCTCAAACCCACTACTCAATTGTGGTTACCTTGGATTCCTGTCTGCTAGGGGCCTCGATGTCCCGTTCTAACTTAAATAAAGTGATCTCACAGACAGTCTCTCAGGATGGAGGAGACTTTGATGTGCACACACTCACCCTTTATTTCTTGAGAAGGACCTCCCTATGTGACCCTGGCTGTCCTGGAACTTGATATGTAGACCAGGCTGGCCTCCAACCCACTGAGATCTGCTTGCCTCGGCCTCCTAGGTGCTAGGGTTAAAAGCCACCATACCTGGCTTTTTTTATTTTTAGATGGTATGGCAGTTTGAGTGAAAACAGCCCTGGCTGTGGTGACTCGCACCAGGACTTGAGAGGCAGAGGCAGGTGGATTTCTGAGTTCAAGGCCAGCCTGGTCTACAGAGTGAGTTCCAAGACAACTAGGGCTACACAGAGAAACCCTGTCTCGAAAAACAAAACAAACAAACAAAGAAAAGAAAAAGGAAACAGCCCCAAAGGCTCATGGAGAGTGGCACTATTAGGAGGCGTGGCCTTGCTGGAGTGGGTGTGGTTTTGTTGGAGGACTTGTATCATTGGGGGCAGGCTTGGAGGTCTCACAAGTTCAAGCCTAGCCAGTGGCTCACTGTCTCTTCCTGCTGCCTGCGGATCCAGATCCAGAACTTTCAGCTCCCTCTCCAGTGCCGTGTCTACCTGCATGCCACCGTGCTTCCGAATAATGGACTAAACCACTGAGCTGTGGGCCAGCCGCAGTTAAATGCTTTCCATTATAAGAGTTGCTGTGGGGCGGTGGTGGTGCACGCCTTTAATCCCAGCACTCGGGAGGAAGAGGCAGGCAGATCTCTGTGAGTTTGAGGCCAGCCTGGTCTATAGAGCAAGATCCAGGAAAGGCGCAAAGCTACACAGAGAGACCCTGTCTTGAAAAACCAAAAAAAGAAAAAAAAAAAAAAAGAAAGAAAAAGAAAGAAAAAAAAAGAAAAAGAGTCGCTGTGGTCATGTGTCTCTTCACAGCGACGGAACCCTAAGACAGGTGGAGTCTCATTAGCCCAAACTAGCCTTGGACTTCTGCTGTCATCCTCCGGCCTCAGCCCCCTGAATGACAGAACCAAAAGTATGCACCACCAAACCCAGCTTGTCCTGTCTTTCCACCTGGGTGAGCCTCAAGGCCACTTGGCCCTAGGAGATGCCCGGGAGTGGCTTCCAGGTTTTAGGACTTGATTCTAGAAGCAAGGGGAAAGGCAAGAGACTCGTTAGAAGATTGGAGGGGATAGCAGGACCCAGAGAGCTGATACCTTCAGGTTGGAGAGCTGCCCAAAGTTCTTGCCACACACGTTGCACTCATAGAGGATTTTACCATTCTCTTTCTTCAGAGGGTAAGGCAGGGCTGGGACGCCAGCCTGGGAGCCTGGCCGCTTTGCAGGAGCTGCCACACCAGCCTGTCCTGGGGAGAAGGTGGAGGCCTCTCTAAAGCTCTGACTCCGGACCTGGGAGTGCAGGGTGTGTCCAGCACTCTGGGAAGCCCCTGAGTTGAGAAGCGGGGGCTTCTCCTGGGTGATATGGGGCCCAGCACCATTGGCTGTCATAAGCAAGCTGGATGTGGCCATGGTGGGGTATGAGGTGTCTGGGGACAGCATGAGGAGTTGCGGACACTGGACAGAGGGTAGGGCCCCATAAGTGAGTAGGTAAGGGGGAGGCAGGAGAAGTGGGTACCCAGGGAAGACTGGGTAGATGTGGAGAGGGAGTTCCTTGGAGACGACAGTGGGAGGGAGCCAAGGCCAGAAGGTCAAGGGACTAGGACTCTTCCTGTCCAGCCTGACATCTGGGGGGGAGCTGGTGTGAGGGGGGAGGGGCAGGCAGAAGTCTCTTTCTGGCTGGTTTCCCATCTCTTCTCTGTTCACCGAGTCCTTGGTTGTGAGTTTCTCACTGTCCACAGAGTCTTCGTGCAGGCCTGGTGGCTGGTGCTCTGAATCAGAAAGGGAAGATGATCAGGTCCCCTGCAGTCTGGACTGAACATCTGGCCCCTCTTAAGCCCACCTGGCTCAGAGTTGGGAAAGAACCTGCAAGATGATGAGGCAACTTGGGCTGGGCACTTCCCTCTGCCTCTGAGACTCAGTTTCCCCTCCGCTACTAAGCCTGTAATAAAAGCTACCAGGGTGCAGGGAACACCTGACAATTTAAGGGGGAAAAAACTGTAAGCAGCTTACTAGACATCCAGGAAAAGGGTCAGGTGCACAGCCCATTGGACATGGGGAGGAGAGGTCAGGTGTGCAGACAGATGAACCGAAGTTTAAGGGAGAGGTCCCAGGCTAAATACATAAATTTGGGTGCCACAGGTCAAAAGGAGGTCACACAAGGATCGCAAGGGGCAGCTGCTGAACACGTAATTAAATTTGCATTAAAGTAATTTAGTAAAATATTCAATTCTGTTATAAAGGGCATGGTGGTACATGCCCATTATAACAGAACTTAGGATATCGAGCCAGGAGAATCAGGAATTCAAAGTCATCCTTGGCTGCATAGTAAGTATGAGGCTAGCCTGGGCTACATGGGACCCTGTGTCAATAAAAGCAAACAAAAATAAATAAATAAATAAATAAATAAATAAATAAATAAATAAATAAATAAATAATAGGGACTCCAAAATGGCTCAGCAGGAAAAGGTGTACTCAGGTCTGAAGACCTGAGTTCAAGCTCCCAAACCCACAGGGTAGAAGGAGAGAACTGACCCTGCAGGCTGCCCTCTGACCTCCACATGTGCACCATGGCATTCGCGCGTGTACAGACACACACAGACACACACAGACACACACACACACACACACACACACACACACACACACTTTTTTTTTTTTTTAGACAGAGTCTCACTGTACATCCTTGCCTGGCCTGGAACTCACAGAGATTTGTCTGTCTCTGCTTCCTGAGTGCTAGAATTAAAGGTGTGTGCCACCTTGCTCCGCTACTAAATAAAAAAAAAAATGTTTAATGTAATAAAAAAATTAAACAAAACCAAACAAACAAATTTAGTTTTTTAGTTGTATTAGTACTAGCCACATGTAAGGTGCACAGTAACACACACCTGTGACCCCCAGCTGGTCTGGTGGCACACACCTGTGACCCCAGCTGCTCTGGTAGCACACACCTGTGACCCCAGCTGGTCTGGTAGCACACATCTGTGAACCCAGCTGGCCTGGTAGCACACACCTGTGACCCCAGCTGCTCTGGTAGCACACACCTGTGAACACAGCTGGTCTGGTAGCACACACCTGTGACCCCAGCTGGCCTGGTAGCACACACCTGTAACCCCAGCACTCATGAGGAGGAGGCAGGAGGAACATGAGTTCAAAGTCAGCCTGGGTGATACAGTGAGGGGAAAAAAGCCACCAGGCATTGACCAGCAGGGTATGGAATATTCACGCTGTTGCACAAATGTCCTTTGAGCAGTACTACTCCAGATAAAGAGAACAGGACTGGAAAAGGGAGAGGACATGAGTGAAGAAGGCAGGAGATGAGGAAAAGGAAGAGGAGGAAGGGATGGAGGACACATTGGGAAGACTGGGGACAAGAAAGAGAGGACATGGGGTAGAGGAGACAGTTGAAGACTGACTGTGAGCTGTGAAAACGTGTAGGGTAAGAACATGAGCAGGCATGGAAAAGACAGCTCAGCCGGGGCTGGCCAGTGCAGGGGTGGGGGTGGGGGGGGGGGGTGGGGGTGGGAGTGGGGGGTTAAGGCTAGGATGATAAATATTTAAATACTAGGCCTGGGGCTTGGGTCATAGCTCTGCGGTAGAGTGCTTACCCAGCATGTGGGAGACTCTGGGTTCTATCCCCAGCATGGGGTGGGGGGAATAATACCAAAGGGGGATCTGATTATCCACTTGGACCCCCATTCACATCCTCGATCAAAAACTCTTTTTTGACACAGGATCTCTCTGATATGTAGCCCTGACCTTACTGGGACTTGTGTAGCCCAGGCTGGCCTCCAGATCAGAGATCCACCTGCATCTGCCTCCTGAGTGCTGGGATTAAAGGTGTGAGCCACCAAACCTGGCTCCCTCAGTCAGGTTTTGTTGTTGTTGTTGTTGTTGTTTTTGTTGTTGTTGTTGTTTTTGGTTTTTCGAGACAGGGTTTCTCTGTCTAGCTTTGGAGCCTGTCCTGAATCTCACTCTATAGACCAGGCTGGCCTCGAACTCACAGAGATCCGCCTGGCTCTGCCTCCCGAGTTCTGGGATTAAAGGCATGTACCACCACTGCCTGGCCTCCCTCAATCAGTTGGTTTTTTTTAAAAAAATAATTTATTTAACTTTATTTTATGCTCATTGGTGTGAAGGTGTTGGTTCCCCTGGAACTGGAGTTACAGACAGTTGTAAACTGCCATGTGGTGCTGGGATTTGAACCTGGGTCCTCTGGAAGAACAACCAGTGCTCTTAACCACTGAGCCATCTCTCCTGCTCCCCTATATCAGTTTTAAGGTGCTGTTTCACTCTGTGTTCTGTGCTAGGGTCCTGCTGGGGTCCCAGAAATAAAAGACAGAGCAGGTCAGTCCCTGTCCTCCAGGCGGTCTCAGAGGATTCCCATACAACAAACCTGGAACAGGTCTAAAAAGACCCTACCTCTATAGACAAGCAAACCCGTGGATGTGCCTGAAGCTGGGGAACTAGAAAGGGCAGAGGCAGAACTCAGGCCCAGCTGTGCGCCCCGTCCAGTGCTCCTGTCATCCATCTTAAAAGACTTGCTCAGCCAGGCGTGATGGCCCACACCTTTAGTCCAGCACTCAGGAGGCAGAGGCAGGCGGATCTCAGGAGTTCGAGGCCAGCCGGGTCTACAGAGTGAGTTCTAGAACAGCTAGAGCTACACAGAAAAACCTTGTCTTGAAAAACAAACAAGCAAGCAAACAGAAGACATGAGCAGTGAGTAAGAGTACCTCCTGCACAAGATGAAGAATTAAATTCAAATCCTCAGCCCAACTTCTGCCCACCCCACGCCCAAAAAAATCCCAGCACCAATATAAAAGGCCCTTCATGGCTGTGTGCAGGATCACTGGGGTTTGCTGGCCAGCCTACCTTCAGGTTCAGTGAGAGACCCTGTCTGTCTCAAGAGACTAAGGCAGAGAGAGAGAGAGAGTAGGATTGTGGACAGCCTCCTCTGGCCTCTACATGGGTATGTGTCGTACAATTACATACACATGTGCACACACACATCACATACACATGCACATGCAAAAATTAATCGGCAAAAATGAACATTTATATTGAAGAACGTAGACAGAAAGGCTCAAAGGAGGAGATACTTGCTACCCAGTCTGACAACATGATTTTGATTCCCAGGATCCATAGGTAGAAGGAGAGAACTGACTTCTGCAAGCTGTCCTCTGCGCATGCCTGTACACATAACTAACTAAATAAATGCAAAAAGAATTAAAGCCTGCTCTAGCCCAAACATTCTAGGCCAACAGTTACCCCCACCCTGATGATCAACTACACCAGCTGCTACGCTGCCGTCTTGAAAGGCCACAGGCGACTCTGGCCAGAACCCCAACACCAAATGTGGCAGGAAAGTGTGCCTGAGGCTCTGTCCTCATCCCCATCCCAAAACCCATGTCCCCTTCAACCCGCCCACAGAGCTCTGAGGTCCAGCCCCAGGCCCCAGACTCACTCATGTTTGAGGCATCCTCTCTGAGATCCTGCGGGGTCATGCCCAGGATTGTCTTCTTCAGGGCATAAGGATACAGGTCTGAGCCTCGTGGGCAGGCCGGCAAGGAAGATTGAGCTGGTACCAGTGGCAAGGGACACATCCAGTTGGCCCATGACAGGTCGTGAGTAGCCATTGCGTCTGGAAGTGGCTGAGAAGTATCAGGTGAGAAGACCTGGGAAGCAGGGAAAAGGCCTAATAGCCCAGGACTTGGGAGTCTCTTGCACAGACACCCCAGTTAGGTTTCTAAAGGGAAGAAGCTAAGCCATGGATACCCATATCATTCATTCAAATGGCTCCCCCTCCCTCCTCCAAAGGTTTCCTTATCCAAGGGCTTTTTTTTTCATTGACCTCAGACTGTCCCCTCTTCCCTACATAACTTGCCCCATTCTCCCTCCACACCCCAACTCCTGATTGCCCTGGTGTTCCTCTGTGGTGTTGTTCTGAATGGGACCAGAATGAACTTGGGCAGAAAATCCTCATCTAAGACTGCAAAGGTCACAGAATGGTTCTGAGCCCCCACGAAAGTTCAAGGCCGTGGTCATCCACACGTTCTGTGTGGTCTTTCCCTCTTCTTGCCAATAGGACAATCTGAGCCCTAGAGCATGTCCACTCTGGAGTCTCTGCCTGGAGCAGAAAGGTAAGGGCTTGGCCCATTCAGGCTTCCACCCTTCCTCTTAATTTGGCAGACATGCTCAGGGAGAAGGGCATGTCCCACCCTAGCTGGTCATCTGGCCAGAGCTGGAAGCCCAGGCTGGGGGACAGGGAGTATCCCGAACCACCCAGAAGTCTTGTGGTAACCACCCAACTGGGCAGTTGGTTTTCCCTTCATGTTCCCACTCCCAGATGGGGAGAACGGGTGGGTCAGGTGAGCTGTGAGGCACACTCACTGAGATGAGGCTGTGTGCGGGTCACTCTCTTCCTGGCCTCAGTGTCTCTCTATGAGAAATGAAGGGCAAAGGACGAGAGATGGAGTCCTTTGTGCATGCCTCGCCTGTGTGAGGCCTTGGGTTCAATCTCCAGCAACACCTAAGCTGGGCATAGTGGAGAACACTGTAATCCCAGCACTCGGGAGGTAGAAGGGGAAGGGTCGGGACTGTAAGGTCATCCATGGCTACACAGAGCGGTCAAGGCTATGTGAGACCTTGTCCCAAAAATAGTAAAGAGAAATAGATACGGCCCTAGCTAACGTGTGACAGCTGTCTTAGTCCTGACATCTGGAAGCCAATGACACTTCCCTGGAAGGTACAGAAAGGATATTAAATGAAGAGCAAAGTCCTTATGGGGGTTCTGAGGGAACATTCCGGATTCCCCGAGGCCATCGAGAATCGAGGAGCCTGCCTTTTCCATAGAGATCAGGACCACAGCAACCAGAGGCTCCTACCATCCAGGCTCACCCAGGGAGCTTTTCTGGGAAACACCAGAGTCTTGTCAACCTTAGTTGTTTCAGGTCAACTCCCTCAGCAGCGGTGAGGCCCTAGAAAGGAGAGGCCCCAGGTGCCACCTGCCTAGCCTGACAAGACGATATCCCAGTGCTCGGCTGGCTGCCAGTCAGTACCCTGCTGCTCTGCCGTCTTCTTCTGAGGCCACACAACACAGAGGTCAACTTAGCCAGGCGACTGGCACCTCACCCCTCCCGTCCTAAGTAGCCCCAAATGCCCCTCAGACTCCAAAACCCTCAACCCGGGGTCCCAGCCCCGCAAGCCCCTGTTCTTTCCCTCTCCCAACCCTGCCTCAGGTCTCAAATACCACGGCCTGGAAGGCACCAGCTGGCCATGTGAGCTCTTCACCTGGTCCTGCAGCAGCCCTCTCCGGCTGGGAAGGAAGGAGGTTGGGCAGGCGGGCAGCAGAGCCTGTGTCTGAGCGCCCGGGGGTGCGAGAGAAGACAGGAAGATGTAATGCGTTTGAAGTTGCCTTAAATAGGCCTCCAGGAAAGAAAGAGAGGGTTCAGAGGGGCTGCCAAGGGCCCTTTGGTTCTAGGGCATGGTCTTCTTGTTCGGATTTTCTCTCTTTTTGAAACAGGGTTTCAGTCAGGCAGTGGTGGCGAACGCCTTTAATCCCAGCACTCCGCACGGGAGGCAGAGGCAGGCAGATCACTGAGTTTGAGGCCAGCCTGGTCTACAGAATGAGCTCCAGGACAGAGAAACCCTGTCTCAAAAAACAAAATAAATAAGAAAGAAAGGAAAGAAAGAAAGAAAGGAAAGGAAAGGAAAGGAAAAAAGAAAGAAAGAAAGAAAGAAAGAAAGAAAGGAAGGAAGGAAGGAA